AAGAAACTTTACTCAGTTTTGAGAAGGGAGACAGTGAAGCTCTTGATGAAGTTACTACCACTGATGTGACTGTTATTGACGATAGAACTTTTCCTGATGAAGCAGATGAACCCCATATGAAGCAGAAGCCAATGAGATGGAGACCAGTACGGAAGAAGATACGTCCCGTAAAATTAAGAGACTTTGTTGAATTGTAATTTTGTGTTTGTAATTCTGTACATTTAATTAAGTTATTGTTAATTGTTATTGGTTTATTGTATGTGGTTATTGTTCAGGATGAACAATACTAAGGAGGGGGCAGTGTTGCATCAGCGAGGTCACGTGACTAGTGTCATGCCACGTTTCTAGAACTATCCTGTTCCTTTGGGAGTGCTCTAGCATTTGCTAGATTGGGGGTGGGCTGGTATATATAATATGGTCACGGCGTGACGTGACAATGTGTGTGTAGGTAGTGAGTAATTGAACTGCAGTCAGAAAGTATTGTTGAAGTTTACGTTCGTTATTATAGGGTTTGTTATAGAGCGACTGTTGAAAATAAGTGTATCGTAAAGTTGTATTTGGAAAGAATAAACCAGTTTTATTTAAGAAAGGACTTGCATCGCTAAAGTTTCATCGGAACGAATTTACGGAAAATCAATTAACAAATGGAGACGTAACAATATTTAATAAATATTTCAACAGTAGTAGGTTAAGTAGTTAATAATATAAAAAAAAAGCTGTTGAGCGAATGATAAACTAAAAGCAAAAGGATTCTAACATTTTAATTTTTGTCCTTATGTTGGATGGAATTGGCATTTGATACAGTGTGTGTGTGTATATATGGTTGTGGGTTTTCTTGTTAACATCGAACGGGTAGTTAAGTTGTTGGAAAAATCCTGACATTTCATTGGTTTTGGAGAGAAGATCTTGTTCTTCAGGTTGTAAATGTCTCCATCTTTTGAACTGTCCTTCAGGAATAGCAGCCTTAGTTACACAGGAATGGAAAGAGTAACAGCCAAGGTAAGCATGACTATCAGTATTGTTGTAAGTGTACGGTGGTGTTAAGAGAGAGTGTTGTTAATGTACGGTGGTGTTAATGAAATGTGGATGTTGATGTTGAGATATGAGGCACTGGTATTGGATATTTGGTAATCTTTATTAAGGAGTGGGTGGAGTTGTTAAACAAAGTCAATGAACTTCTCTAATTGGGCTTTGATGCAGATTACAATACCTGAAATATTGTCAATGTAACAGATAAAAAGGTTGGGGAAAATTATTATTTTTCTATACTGAAAATATATTTCCGATAGGTACTTACCTCCTCTCACTTGCATAGCTATTCTCATTCAGTGCTGCTCTCTTTATGCAAAAATGTTTTCACAAGCCACAACCTTGAACACCTCATGTATCACATGAACAATGTGGTTCATCTGTGTCTCTCATGTAAGTCATCATGAGCCAACCTTTCACCAACAGGAGTGCAACACACCCTCCTGTGACTCATTCTATTCGATTCTACCAAACTATCACTTCAAGATTAGACAGAAAAGGAAGCACCAGTTTTCAATGGGGAGAAAGAGTGAATGGGATAAGTACCAATCGAAAATATATTTTCAGTATGGGAAAATAATAACTTCCGATAAGGTACGTTACCTCCTCTCACATGGATAGCTGGAATCCACATTGAATAGGCAAAGGGACCAGTGCGAGTGACAGAGAGAAGTATCCTTCAAAAGTATCAAAAGAACACCCGTCAAGTGTGATCTCACTGGGAGAGGAACACACGTGGGAGACCACACCACTTCTGTATACCAGGTATACTATGCACCCAGTATGGAAAGAGGTGTGGCATACACAGGTCGAAAGTGGGAGGAGCACAACCAAAATGGGAGAGAAAACTGGGTGGGTTGGAATCTGAATCACAGTATACCAGAATATCAGTCCTGTAGAAGAAAGACTGTAGAAGAACCATCTTCAGACAGGAATGTGGGGAAAACTAAAATGGATGTACTCAAAGGCATAGAGTGGCTAGGGTGTGAAGGACCATACACAACCAGTCAATTCTAGTCCAAGACCAAGAGGTATTGGGAATAAAATCTCTGACTCATGGATGGAGGAGGGTCCACACTGTTTTCACCTCAAGATAAGTAGAATGGAAGTGTATACTGTTTAAACCAATCTACGAAACAGGCACTTGTGTGCAATCCACAACCAATCATACAACTGGGAATCTGATATTCAAATGATGGTAGGAAGAGATGTGCCAATGTGGGAGGTCACATCAAACTGCCACCCCACTGTGCAATATCAGCCTCAGACAGTGAAAACTCCCTGAGGTGGAGTGAAAGAGGGAGAACCATTTCCCTAATCAACATTATTTTCTGAATAGGACTACACAGAAGCCAGAGCACAATGCCACCCTCCAGGTTCCACTGCATAGGTTACCTGTATGAAAATATAAAGCAACCTCGCCCTCCAGATAGAACTGGTGCAACATCAACCTCCAAACCCATCACACAGAGGTGGAGATCATGAGATAAATTGTGTGAGGAAGAGGAACACAACTAACATATGTGTGAGGATTTATGTTGATTGATCCAGCTCGAATCAAAAACCACTCACTGGGAAACGACATCCAGGTGATGGTAGGGTGAGGGATCCCAATTGAAGGGGTGAACTGCAAAGTGATGGAGCTACACCTAAGCAACTGCACCCTTTGGATAGAACCGCACAGAAGCTGGGAACAACATCAACCTCTGGGATCCACCACATGTTTGGAGGATCAAATGCCACATACACCAGCAGAACACCACCACCTTACTCTCAACTGAATTGAAGAGATCCCATTCAAGAGAACTCCTCCATGGTCCACCACCCTAGAGGCTCAGAACTGGAAAGTGGCAAGGACTACCATACTCTACTAGAAGAACAAGAGGGGACAAAATGTGGTGGAGCATCTGGGGGAAATGCTGACCTTGGAGACAGTGCAACAAGTGACCATGAAAACCCCTATTTAAAAAAAAAGACCCCCTATTTATTCAATCAGAGGGACAGCAGGGAGGGGGCAGCTATCTATCCCCTTCTGCTTTACCCAAGTAAATTCATGGGTTAATATGACCCAGAACGGGCATATTTATGATGCAAGTATATCATGAGGAAAACCTACTAGCCATCTTGGAGAACACCCCATTTCAACAGTATGCATCATTGGCCATGGTTAGACATCTTGGCAGTCAAAAATGAGAAAAAAATTCTATAAGCAAAGGTAAGTTATTGTAGCAAACTACTACTGAAAATTAATTATAGTAAATGAAGAAATCAAGTAAATCACTATGTTGCAAAAAAAAATTAAATGAACATGTGAAAGAGCACAATTGAAAAACATCTGCACTCCATCACTGCCTAACAAGAAGTGATAGTTTGGTAGAATTGAACAGAGAAAGGCACATGTTTCAGGAGGGTGTGTCACAATTCTGTAGGTGGAGAGTTGTTGCATGATGCAAATGAACCACATTAATCGTGAGGTATGTGAGAGTTCAAGGCTTATGGCATGTGAAAAGATTTTTCCATATAGAAGATAACACTGGATGAGAAGAGCTATTCATGTGATGTAATGTATAATATTGGAAATATCAAAAGTGACGTAGAGGCGTTCCTTGATGTAGCCAACAAACAGATTAGTGAGGAAAGAACCCATTTTTGTACCCCTGAAAATACTGGTAAGTTTTTGAATTAGTTGGCTGTTAAATTTGATGGTATTCTTTGTGAGAACTAATTCTGTGAGTTGAAGGAGGGTTTCAGTGATGGAAAATTTAGTATCTTGTCTGTTAAAAAAATGTTTCAGAGCTAGCATGGTGTCACTGTGAGGAGTAACGTAACAGTGTACAGTGACTATATATCCATGGTAAACATACTAAGTTACAGGATTAGATGAAAGTCTATAAGACAGTTTAGAACATATGTGGTGTCTTTAACATAGGAGGGAAGAGAGATGACCAGGGCTGTAGGACAAAATCTAGGTAATTAGATATTTGTTACAAGCTAAAACTATAAGATAATCAGATTTGTGAATCTTGGGCAATAAATAGAAAATTCCTGTTCTAAGATTTTTTTGAATTACGTTTTTGACATTATGTGGGAGTTCGCTGTAATTTATAAGTTCTTGGATGGTTTTATGAATGTGCTTCTGACATTCAGGTATTGGATCTTTCTTGAGTATCTTGTAAAAGTTGGGGTTGTTCAGTTGTCTGAGAGCTTCTTGTGTGTAAAGATCTTGTTGCCACATGACCACAGTTGCATCCTTGTTAGCTGGTTTAATTACTATGCCAGTGTGATTTTTGAAAGAAGATAAAGCATTTCTTTCTTCTTTATTCATGTTTGGTAGTGGAGGTGTTTTATTTAGGTTTAGTTATAGCTTTCAGTTCAACAAAGATGAATAAAGGTATCAAGAGTTTGTAGTTCTCTTTCTGGTGGTGTCCATTCATGCTATCTTGGCTCCAATGACTTAAAAAAATCATGTGTTGAGTCAGGTGTGATATCATCAACAGTATTGATGTTTATAGAGGGGAGGTCAGTGGTAACTATTTGATTGTTGTTTTGCTCCGAGTGTTGGTGGGTGTTGTATCAACAATAGTTTTTGTAACAAAATGTGATTTCAGGCTGCAGCATCTGAAAAATCTTTCTATATCACCTTTAAGTGTGTATTCATTGGTTTGATTATGAGACGATGCAAAGTTTAGTCCTTTAGAAAGCACGCTTTGTTCAGTATTAGAAAGGGGAAGATTATCAAGAATAGTTAAAACACATTTAATGAAGTTTTTTTGTGAGGTTATAGTTATGATAATGCCAAGGTTTAATCAATTTAGTAAGTTTTTGGTTGTTCAAAATTTTCTGATAAACAGTGTTGAGCTGATAGATGTGTTGTCAAATTCTGGTAGCAACTGAAATTTCACAAATAAGGTATACATTATTTCAGAACTTTCCCATTTCACTTGAGTTGTTGTCTTGTACCTTACAAAAGCTGTTGTGGGTAGCTCTCATTAGAAATAGAGAATATCTGTGTAACTTAGTGCTAATAAGGTTCTCGAAGTTTTGATGGTACATTTGAGGTTATAAAAAAACAGAGTTTAAAGCCAGAGGGAATTACCTTGTGATGGAGACAGTTTTTCAAAAACAATATGTGGCTACTGAATCTTATCATGGATATCATAACATAGCATAATGTTTAGGGACAACAAGGGACCTATTGGTCCATCTCAACTGTCCCATCCTCTAAAATAAGCTATTATAAGATAAAAGAAAAAAAACAACATAAAGCCAGCCCTTATTCTTCATATAGTTCTCAAGCTTTTTCTTAAAATCACTTAAATTTACTGCTTCCACAACATCCAAAGGCTACTCATTCCCAAAGCCAACCACCCTCTAAGCTGAAGATGACTGTTACCCTGCCAAAATTTAAATTTGTGTTCCCTATTCTTATTATTCTCACTGTTAAGTATGATAAAACATGATACATCAACACTATCAACTCCATTTACAATCTTAAACACTTTGAACAGATCCTTTCTAACTCTGTTTTTCAAGAGAAAACAATTTCAAAAATCTTAATATCTATCTCCTCATATGACAAACCCTCCATCCCAGTAACCCTCCTCTGAACCCTTTCCAACAATTCAATGCCCTTCCTAAGGTAAGGAGCCCAAGTACTGTATTCACACAATATTCCATTTTGTGCTTAACCAATGACTTGGTTATAACCTCTTTAGACTTGTGTTCAATATTCTGTAGATACAGCCTAAAATCCTATTTGCCCTACCACTAGCAACAGCACACTGCTTGGATGGCTTATGAGACTGATCAATCATTACGCCAGGGTCCTTTTCTTTCATGACACTTTTAAGGTTATTCTCATCCAAATTATACTGAGAATTCAATTTATGATAACCAATGTGCATTATCTTGCATTTATTATAATTAAAACCAATCTGCTATTTATTTGCCCAACTCAATAAATGATCTAAATCCTTTTGTAAAGCAGCAGCATCATCTTCACAGCTAGCAACACCCAAGACCTTAATATTATCAGCAAATTTGGTAAATCTATTGATCATTTCTTCATCTATGTCACTGATATAAATTATAAAGAGCAAAGGTCCTAAGACTGAGCCCTGAGATACTCCATTTGTGACAGTAATCTAGTTTGACTGAACTCCATTTATAACAACTTTTTGCTTTCTTCCATCCAGTGACTCTTCTATCCAATTAGCTAACTTATCCCGCACACCTAGAGATAACTTGTTTTATGTGGCACCTTGTCAAAAGCTTTCTGAAAATCCAGATACACCAAATCTACACCCTTACCCTTATCAACATAAGCCGTAACCTTTTCAAAAAATATCAAAAGATTTGTAAGGCAAGATTTTCCCTTAGTGAAACCATGTTGACTATCCAATAAAATTATAAACTTTGTCGAATGACTTTGCAAAGCATCTTTTATCAGACTTCCAAAATGTTTCCCACAATTGATGTAAGACTAATAGGCCTATAATTACTGGGACAATTTTTATTACCTCCCTTGAAAATAGGAGCGACATTAGCTAACTTTCAATCCTCTGGAACCTGCCCACTACTTAAAGACAAAAAATAGTAGCAAGTGGCTCACATATCCAATCCTTAACTTCCTTCAAAACTCTTGGGGAAAATATTATCTGGACCAAAAGCCTTATGATTTTTCAAACTTCCAATTTTTTTCTAACAAGCTCAGAATTAATGCAATTATATTGTCTGACCTTGTTTCCATTTTTAAACTGTTCAAGATAAAGAATACTGCTTAAATATTCATTACTAAAAACAGAAGAAAAATAGAATTTTCTAGTTTTGTCTGTAGTTTGATTTTTCATAATAAAAAGAAGAGTGTAAATGTAATCTTATCACTTTGCCTGTTTCTATTTTTCTACATAACTTTGATCTTCAAAAGTAAAACACAAAAGGGAAAGTGTTTTCTTATCTGTTTGTATATTAGTGTTAATAGCTTTAACCTCCAGAATTGAAAACAAAAAGTGAGAATGTTTCTTATCTTACTTGTTTCTAGTTTTCTATGTACTTTAATTATAAGAAAGAAAGGAAGTTTCACTATAGTTTTAATATTCTGAGCACAAAGCAGTTTTCACTATAGTTTTAATCTTCAGAGCAAAAGGTAATTTTCTCTACCGTTTTAATCCTCATAGCAAAAGCAAATTCCACTATAGTTTAATTTTCAGAGCATAAGAAAATTTCACTGTACTTTTAATTTTCAGAACAAAAGGAGGTTTCACTATAGTTTAATCTTCAAAACTAATAGAAGATTGAGAATATGTTTCCTTGTTACCTTACCTGCTTCTAGTATTCTCTAGAGTTTTTAATATTCAGAGTAAAAGACAGAGTGAATGTTTTTACTTGTTATCATACCTCTTTCTTTTAGTTTGCTGCTCAGTTTTTTCTTTTAAAGTTGATAGGAAGACATGTCTATTCAGGTAGTTAATAACTGACCCAAAGTGGAAAATTTCTATTCCACAAATGTCTTGAAGCTAAAAAAAATAACTGACATATTAATGATCTAGAAGTGTAGTTTCAACAGCTCAATTAATTCAACATTAAATACAACACAGCAAGTATCAGATCTCACTAATGTTGTGAAAAGAACATGTGTTAAACAAGGAAAATCAATTATTTGACTCTTTTGATAAGGAAATTTGCTATTTCATAATCATTTGTATAAAATAGTATCTATTTCTTCATACAAACTTATCACAAGTAAAATTATCCCCATTGTTTTGAAAGGTTCGAGAAATACTTTCTAATATTTACAAACATGAGATTCTCTAGTTTACTTACCTTAGTATAATGCTCCTTGTCTAAATAGATTTCTGTCTCTGGCACAGTGCCTAACACAGTGTGGTAAGGGCTATAAGACAGCATTATTAGAACTGAATAATAGTATGATATAAATAAAATAGTAAAAAGAAAATTTTCTTCAACATACGTGAACTTTAAAACACATCATGATATGGTAAATTTGAGATAGAAGTGCTTTCCACATACACAAACTTTACAGAGTAAGACATAATTTATGATAAAACGTCTGTAATAGAAAGACTAGAAGAGAATGTTTGTGAGCTTTATCAAGTAGAAGAAATACAAAATAAAAGTAGATTAAGACAAAAGCAAATATTATGTTCATATATGCTCCTAAGCTTATAAAACAGAGGAAGGTATTAGGTTAAAATGACAATTGTGTTAATTTCAAATGATACAGATGTTAAAAGAAAAACAAAATTACACTTAACAAAGTGCACATCATCTATTAACAATATGTCCCTCTGGTCCTTCATCCCTATTTAATAGTTTAAAAGTATTTGTATTATATTTGATCATTTCAAAACATTCATGGATATTATTTTCTACCAGATAACAGCTGTATTTTTTCCAATTGGATCATGTGTATAATGTCCATAAGTTTTACAAAACAGAAATTGGCAAATGTCATTATAAAGTACATAAGCCTTAAAAACAGAAAAAGGTAAGGTAGAAGGTATTGTTATGGTAATTTGTTTTGTAATGTAAAAGTTGGTTAAGAATGAAGTTAACATACTGACCATAAACTTTAAGAAAAACAGAATAATAGTAAATAGAAGTTAGTTTAATGCCCTTAAGCATAAAAAAAGGGAAAAAAAAGAATAAAAGTTATCATAAGATTAATAAGAATTATTAATAAAGTTTCTTGTGATACATTTTCCTAAATACTTAGTACTTTTACCACTTGAAACTTGACATTTTGATTTTGATGAAAAACATTCCCTCATAACAGATACAGCAACAAAATGACAATATCCCGCAATTTACTGATCTTCATTAAAGTTACTAAAGATTGTTAAATGGCAGTCTGTAGTAAAGACACAAGATGTTTGCACTGAAACCAAGATGGACACCTCCATCAAACTGTATATGACCACAATAAAATATTTAATAGCTAACCTTGTCCATCATTCAAGAGGATCACGGAAACTAGTCCACAAATAAGATGGAAAATTATATAAATGAGCAGTCCAGTTTTCATGCCACAAAGGTGTAGTTAAGCCTATTAAATAATTGTTCCTAATGTGAGAATTTAAATCAATGATGAGTAATGGAAGGGTGACACGATAAACTTTTTAAAGTGGTCACTAGACAAACTATACAAAACTAGTACGACTATTGGACAATGTCTTTGTGCAATGGGGTTTTCAAAGTGGTAACTGCAAAAAATATGAAACAGAAAAACTACAGCACTTTCATTCAAAACAAATTCCAATTTCATATCCTAATTCAACTCCTACCACTTAATAAACACTTTTAACCTATTATTTTTCGAATCAGACAAAGGAATTAAAAACTACATAATTATTAGACAAAAAATTTAGAGTATTTGATTATCTGACATAACAGCCAGAGCATTATTATTATTATCAAATATAACAGCTAGAACACTCTAGTTATCAGAAACAACAGCTAGAACATTTTGACTGCTATGATAGGATCACAGAAGATGGAGTTGGTCAAACCAAAAATTAGGAAATCAAAAAGGATATATGAAAAAGGTTGGCTGAATATGTAAAAATTAATACAGTATTTCTTTAAATACATTATGGGTAAGCAAAATGTTAGTATGAGAGAAGGGCCTTTGAAGGATGATAAAGGAAGGTTTGTATTTGCTGATTATGAAATGATTGGATCATTAAATTATACTTTTTCCTCCATTTTTAATAATGAAAATTTAAGCAGTATTCCTTATCAGTTGCTAGATAGAGACAAGATGATACAAGATAATTATATCAATTCATATGATTATCATACACAATAACTAGAGCATTATCATCATACATAACAACAAGAGTATTCTCATTATCAATACAGAACAACTAAAGGTAAAACATTATACATAACAAATAAAGCATTATGATTATCATACATAAAAAACTAGAACATCAATAACAGTGGCATTATTGTTATCATACATAACAGCATAAATATTTTGATTATTATATAGAACAACTAAAACATTATGATGACCAAACATAACCAGTAATGGATTAAGGCATGGGTGGTTTGGGTGACAGCCAGGGACCAATGGTCTAAGAGGGCCCATATAGAAAAAAAATTATAAAACAGATTATATTTATAAATATCTTATTATGTTAACTCTCTCAATATGGGCCCGGTCCCAGGAACCAACCACGTGGCCATTTTGTACTAGTATATAGTTTTAATACTTTAACTTTTAATACAGCATGCGTATCTTCACAAAATTTGGCAGACATTTAGTAAACATTACAAGCCATTTGTACACAAAAAATCAGTTCTTTTAATGAAGTATTTTTTACTAAAAATTTGTCCATGAATATATAGTCTTTTTTTTACTGTATGTGTGTGTGTGTTTTTTTTTTATTACAGCAAAGCCATATCAGGCTATCTGATGTGTCCACTGAGGTGAATCGAACTCCTGATTTTAGCGTTGTAAATCTGTAGACTTACCACTGTCCCAGTGCAGGGTCTTTTTTTTTTCTAGTCTGAGTGCAAAGTAATATTTATGTTAAAATTCAAAATACTTTTCTTCGTCTCAAAAGTCTAAAATTTTAATTATATAATTTTAAAACCTCCTAAATACATTTCAATATTTTACCTGTTATTTCCTCTACCCTGACTATCTAAATAGCCGGTCAGTTTAACCAGCCTCGTAACCACCAAAAAATATTGAAAGAAATCTAAATTACCCCTTTTTTTTTCTAGAATGGATTCAAATTGTAACATGAAATAACAATTGTTTATCCTAAATAATTATAAACTCGTAGCAGTATACATCTATTTATACTTAAATTTTATTGTTTTATTGCCCTTTGAATTGTGTGTAACCACTATTGGGGCCTTTACAACTTAAAAGTCATAAATCACTGGCGAATGTATAGTTCATGCTATGCTTGAATTACCCTCCTTACGAGCTACTTGCAAGCATATCCTGTGAAAAAATTCTTTATATTAATATTTATTTTACCGAATCTAACCTTAAGTAACTTATAAAGTTTCCTATTTTTACATTTTAGTTATCTTTATAATAATAAATAAAGAATACACATGAGAAATAAAACAAAGTACTTACTTGGGTCTTCTTTTTTTTTGCTGTTGATTGTCTATGACACTTAACCTTACTTTTTATACTAATGGTACTACTCCAATAAATAATTTTTTATTTAATTAATAATGCTCGTAAGAACACAAAATAATAACATTCAGAAAGCAGAATATGTCATATAACTATCACAATCTTACAATAATGCTTACAACACGAGTGGAAAATATTCTGGTATTCAAGGCTTCAAACTATCATCTGTGACAGAAACCCTTATGCAATGTATATACTGTGTGTAGCTCACTCATTAAACTTGGTTGGAAAAAGCAGTGCCAAGTGTTGCCCTCCAGTTGCAAGATTCTTTGATACTGTACAAACATTATACACATTTCTATTTGCATTAATATATCATTGCCAATTGCTTTGTGACAAGGTGAAACCTTTAGGGCTATATTTTGTCAAACAGATTTCTGAAACTCAGTGGTCAGCAAGATATGAAGCTATTTTGGCCATTTTGCAAAGTGCTAATATCCCTGGCAAATGAATTGAGCAAAAAGCTGAATTGCAGAAATGAAGCTCAATCAATTGTTAATAAACATGAAAAACTAGATTCAAGTATTTACATCCTTATTTGGCACATATTCTTGAAATGATTCCACCACACAAGCCTCGCACTCCAACAAACCAGCTTAGATCTCAATGTTGCTGTGTCCTAATTGGATGCCCTTATCAAATTTGTTAAAGATCAGAGAACAAGATTTGACAAGTTCAAAGACCGAGGTGCTGAACTATGTGGTTATAGTGAGTAATTCTCTGTTCAGAATTGCATGTGGGTGTTCAACCATTATCATGATACTGGAGATGCAGAGGATACCATACTATAACCCAAGAATAAATTCAGAACTTCAGTATTTTTTGTTGTGGTCGACCAAGTTGACATTGCATCGAGATATCATCTTGATGTATATAAGGATGTTTCCACCAAATTTGGATTCCTTTCCAAATTATCATCTCTTTCATGTGAAGGAATCAGTCAAGCCGCAAAATGTCTTGTCCATTCTTTTCCGAAAGACATTGAAACTGAGGTAGAAATGGAATTGATCCAGTTTTCTACTTTGGTAATTCAAGAGCGTCAATGTTCATTCACACAATCTGAACCAATAGAATCAGTGGAGTTAAGAATATTGTTCTTTTTCCATAGACAAACCCTTGTCCAAACATTTCCTAATATTGAGATAGTGCTGAAAATGTACTTGTCCATGATGGTATTAAACTGCAGCAATCATTTTTGAAACTGAAACACACAAAAAGTGAGTTCAAGATCAGAATAGGACAAAGACTAAATAGTCCATCTATAATGAACATAGAATGTAACATACTTCGAAACTCATTGACAAGTTCATTTATAATATAGTCAGAAAAAGACAATTCCAATTTTATACAGGTACATGCAGGTTCTAATCAAGTTGTGAATAAAATGTGTTTGCATATGTTTGTGGTTTGTCTATATTGTTTCCAGTGTTACAAGACTATGTGTGTCATTAAAATTTTCTCACATGTATATACTTAAAATCATGATTTTGACAGTGAAGTTGACTCAGTTCACCAGAAATCAACATATCCATGATGGGAAGGGGGGGGGGGCTTTTCTTCTCCTACTGCCTAGGGCCCAAGCCACCCTTAATCTTTCACTGTACATAACAACTGGTACATTATGGTTATCATACATAACTATTCTATTATAGTCATCCTAGATAACAACTAGGATGTTGTGATTAAAATCCATAACATTAGTTAGAAAAATGTTACAAGACATAATAATTAAAGCATTAATGTATCAGGCATAACTAAAATATGATTATCAGGCATAACTAAAATATGATTATCAGACATAACTAAAATATGATTATCAGACATAACTAAAGAATTATGATCTTCAAAAATAACAACTAAAACATAAGAACTTGACTATTATGGTTTTCAGTAAGGTTTTTTAATTTTGTTTTGTTTTCTTAATGAGCAACAACGTGCTTTTTCTGTTGAAATAAATATTTTAGTCTTAAGAGTTGCTACAAAGACATAAATAGATAACAAGATGAACTGCACTTACTATGATAAGCGATATATAACAGTAAGTAACGAAAATATTGCTCCTGCAATTATTCCTGGGCCAGTATCCAACAAAACAACACACACAAATGTTACTAGCCAGATAAGCTACAGAGAGAGAGAGAAACATGCTACTGAGTTGGTTTATGAATTAAACAAATAATTGTTTATTCATAATTCACAAAAATACACATTACACACCCAATTATAAATCATTTTTAAGACATGAACTTTTCTTATCATAAATTTATGCTTTCATGAGTTACAACTGATTTATTTCAAATACAAGTAAATGTACCCATCCCAAGCGATTAGAAAAGTTTTAAGTTAATCTGTCAATTTGAATTATTTCATGGACTTTAAAAAGGTTAATTGTGTTGCACTCTTGGTTTCACTAAAAGGCAAAGCTCTGAGCTACTTATATTGCCCACTGTGAAAGTAATTGTTGAGTATTTCAGTCATGCTAAGAGCTGCTCAACAATAACATATGATAAATTTGCATTTTCATTATTTAAGTTACATCACATTTTTGAAATGTGAATGACAGTGTGATTAATTCCTAACAACTTAGTGTAGAATATCATGCTTGCGAAATAAAATTTGCATCAACATTTTTCATGGCTGTTCTCCTGTCATATCCAAAATGAATGTTGACCTTTGCCTGCTTGTGCCACTTTTCAAATGCAGTGTAGGAAGCAGCCACCATAAACGAGATACAGCCAAATGCTCAGACAGACAACACGGTTTGCAATATATATATAAGATAAAGTTCAACAACATCAGAGGTTTGAATCTGTAAGATAAGCTCAAACATTAAAGGAGTAACTGCTACAGTCGCTTTAATTTTAGATTTTACAATTTTATAAAAATGATAAAAGCATTACATTGATTCATATTACGTATAACAATTAGATGTTATTTGACCAAAAGTTAACACTTCACATCATGATATATTTTGGGGACATGTTCATAGAAGTCATGACAATTTTGGTAGTTTTGGACTTTTAATATTTTCAAAGAGCTCAATCGAAGTGTGTGGCAATCTCACTCAATTACATACATACAGTACAACATATGCATAATATTATCCTCTAAGCCAATGACGAAACTAAGTTAACATTTTAAACCTCCATTTTTAGGGGTATCAGCTTGAAGGAATTAAATTTTGAAAGAATTTACAGTAATAAAACAAAAAATAGTTTAATGTCATTAATTAACTAATTATATAACTTTTTGTTTATTTATATCCGATATATTATCAAACATATTGGTTAAGCATACAATAAGCAAATCATACTCCTGTCCTTACTAAATGTCAAAGTCACTGACAAGGTGCACTGATGTCTGATGTATAAATTTTGTGAAGGTTAAAAGCTGCCATAGAAAGCCAATAATTAATAGCTACAAGGACAACAGCTCACCAATAAATAGAGTGTAATAAGCCTTTCAGACCACCTATTCTTATCCAAAGTCACACTGGGTGATGTTCTGAAAAAATGGTAGAAGGGAATCTGATAATACTAGCCCAGTCTCCTAAGACTAACCACTGCTCAGCTTATGGGGTGTGTTAGATATGCTACTATGAGAAATTAGAATATCAGCCTAAAACTAATCACTGTTTGGTACATGTAAGACTGCTGGATGTGCTAAAGTGATATATCAGCTCAACCACATGAAATTAATCACATGAATTCACTGTTATTGACTCATTGCCATAAAATTTACTTATAAGGAATAACTATACAGCTTTATGAGCAACCACTGATGTTGGTCTTCTTTCATAAAGAAATACATCTACACAGATTTGTGGATATCTACTGATGTATGTTGGTCTTTTTGCACAATGAAATATATATATATGCAACTTTAGGGGTAACCATTGATGTATGTTGATCTTCTTGCATAATGGGATAAATCTATACAGCTTTATGGGTAACCATTGATGTTAAAACTTTCCTACACCAGAAATATATTACCAATAGATACCTAACTCCTCTTACACAATAGCTTTTCTTGTTCCATATGCACAATTTTTACTCATTACTAACCTTGATGCTCTAACTTACCCCATGTGTTTAACATAGTATAGTGCATTGTAGCATGCAAATAATCATGCAACAACCCTCCACCAATAGGAGCATGGCACGCTCTCCTACTGCAGCTGGCTTCCTCTATACTGTAGAATCCAATCTTCACTTCTAAATTAGGAAAAAAAGAAGCACCAGAAGTAGGGAATTGGGGTATGAAAAATAAGCAGAAGTATCTATTGATCTATCCACTATGATACCTTACCTATTCTCACATAACAGCTAGGATCCCACATTGACATGGTGGAGAGACCAGTGAAAAAGTGTTTGAAGAACACCCATGGAGTGTCACATCTTTTGTTGGTAGAGGAACACACCCTTGAGAGACTGCACCACATCTGAACCAGGTATACTCTTCACCTGTTAAGAAAACTCAGGTAGAAAAAGAGCATATCATATAATCAATTGGACATGCCAAATGGTGTACAGTGGCTAGATCACATCAAACCATAATTGGTGTCAACTCCAGTCCATAATTAGGCAGCATCGGATATTTATCATTGATCCACAGTAGAAGGGTCCCTACCATCTTCACCTCAAGATGAGGATGCAGAAGTGAAAATAGTTTCCATTCTGCCATTCTAGTCAAAGCACATATGTACAGATCTAGAACACAACCAACACCAGACCACCCGGGAACCCAACATGCAGATGATGGTAGAAAGGGGAAACGTAGTATGGAGGTTCATTCAAATCCAAAACCTGGCATCAATGGGACTTCATCATCCAGTCCACAATAGGATGAAAGCTCCCTACCAACCACATGTGTGAGGATTATGTTGGCTAGTCCAGTTCTAATCCAACACAAGACCACCCAGGAACTGACATCCAGGATTTGTGGATTAGTATACCTGAACAGGCATCACTTGCCACAAATCGGGATTCAACATGCACATTAATGACCCTGAAAAGGAAATAAAGAAATATAAACTTATCCAATTACAGTTGAACCAAGATATGGAGAACGACAACAGGCAGTATGCAGTGTCCAGATGAGGAGGAGATGAATGTAATGGGAAATGAATGTGTTAGAAGTGGTCTACATGCCAGCCCAAGTGATTTCTTCTAATGGACGATGGAAATTGGCAGCCAGGGAAAGGGAGAGGTGCCAGAACTGATTAGAGGACACTTGGAAAAGATGTTGGGAAATGGAAGACAATAAATAATATGACAATCTGGTAAGCTGGAGAAACAATTCCATAAAAGTGGTAGGGTAAATATCACAGTGAGAGAAAGGGTTCCTTATAACAGGAATCACGGAAAAAAGCTGTGTGGGCAATATGACATTAGAGAGTACACACAGGCCAAAAAAAGATGATCTAGATTGGAGCGGGAATACAAATTGGAAATGGAAGATATTGAAATAGGAGTGAATTGATGTGACCTTCACAAGCCACCACTGTCATGTGAAAACAACTGTGATCCTGACAAAGGGGAACATAGGTATGATAATAAAGGACACATGATACATCGATGGTGAAAACATCAAACCTACAATGACCATAGGCAGAAAGGAACAAAAAATAGATCTTAAGGTAAAAAGATACAGAGAACAGGAGGCAAAGGGTTCGAAAGGAGGTTGGGTAAGGGCGTGGAGAACAGCAATGAGGTCCCAATCAGGAAAGGGTGTGTGATGAGGAGGACAAAGGAGTTGAAATGAATAAAACAAAAGGGAAAGGACCAGAGAGGCAAACACTCTACTGGAATGGGAAAACTGGAAGGTATTGGACAAGGCTACTCTATAGCCAGCAATCTTGATAAAAGAGTTAGCACAAAGGATCGCATATAAAGTGTAATAAACTTAAAATAAGACCCAAAACTCGAGTGCTTTCAAATAGTTGACTATTTTTCTTCTGAAGAAGAAGAGTCAACTATTCGAAAGCGCTCAAGTTTGGGATCTTATTTTAAGTCTATAGCCAGCAATGGTAGACACAACAAAACCATTGTCAAACAGCCAGATAAACAATTCATAAACATGAGGAATGGTAGGACAGGAAGGAACATGACCATGGCACAGAGACTACTGGCAAAAATACCATTTTCTCTGATACACCAATAAGGGGGAAGGATGGACAGAATAGGAAAGGATGAAAATTATCAATGTAGAGAGTCTGAACCACCTTGCTAGGGACCAGACAAACACCATGATTGAAGTCAGAGTGTGGTGACATTGGGATGATATACCAGCGACTGAGGCTGTTGAAGTAGGGAATTGAATAGCAGAAGTGGTAATGGAGGTGCTCACTGAAGGAGGGCAAGAACTTGTAACCAAGGCTGAGCAGGCCAAAAAGGTGCAATGAGGACCTAACATTGGCTAATGGGTAAACCTTGGGGAAGGAAACAGATAGGCAGATATTAATAAAGGTAAAGTGGGACCAATACTGACTGAAGGCATCCACTATCATAGCCAAAGGATGTGGGATTGGCGACCACAAAAGGGGTCATTTGGCATTGAATTGGGTGGCAAATGTGTCTAGAAAAGGATTACCCCATTGGTTGCACAACCACCAAAACACCCGAGGATTGAGGAGCCACTCTATACGAAGAACCTTGTTCGGACAAGACAATCAATCTACAACAAGATTTAGAGCACCAGGAACATGACACAACAGTAGGAGTGTGTGATGTGAATAAGCCCAGAAGAGGAATTATAGTGTCCAGACTCAAAGTGAATGGGTACCCCCTTGTTGATTGATATACGAGACAATGGTCAAATTGTTGGAATGGATCACGACCATTTTGCCCCATATTACAGGCAGGAAATGATCCAGAGCTTGATGAATGGCAAGAAGTTCCAGCACATTGAAGTCATAGCAAACTCGACTAAAGATCAATGACATGCAATTTCCTGTGTATCTAGAAATGCTTCCCAACCCATCAAAGAAGTGTCTGTAAAAAGATGCAATGCCAGATGAGAAGGCAGAAGAGGAACACCTGTCATGGTGTGTTTCTGTTGAGCTACCAGGCATATTAGATGTGCAGTGAGGGGGGGGGGTTAACAGAGTCCAGGAGACCCTGAGC